GGCGGCCGGTACCGCGCAGTCTGGCATCGCGGTGTGCCCACGCAGGTACCCCCGGGGCGATGGGGAGGGACTCACCCCGAGGGGCCTCCGCCCCTGCCGCTGCGAGGAAGGTTTTGAGGAGAAATAAGTGGATTTCTGAGCCAAACCGATTTTTAATCCCCTCACCCGTCCGGGACGGGCAGCTCGCAGCTGCGGCTCCCAGCGCGACTTAAAGCCGAGCTGAGCCGTGTGCTCTGCTCTGTGAAGGCGCAGTTTTGGCAGCGGGAGCACTGCCCTCGGCCCTGCGCCGTCCATCCATCATGGCTATTAACTCTGCGCTTGAACATGTCTTGCAGGGGAAATACACTTTTGCAGATGGTCTCGAATACAAAGATAAAAAATGGCATTACTGTGACGGCTACGACAGAAGATTTTATACAGAAATCTGTTCTGGTCTTAAACCAGCAGGTACTGAATTGCGTTTGCGATCCTAAGAGTCTGGAAGGAATTAAACTAACAACTTTGCTTAAGAAAGATTAATTCAGCTACATGAGTAACATGGAGCAGAAATGCTCTGGCTAATTTCAGGGCCCGACCATATGACGCTGCCAGAAGAACACAGACACCACCTTTCACCAGCGCTGCAGAGCGTGGGCTCTTCTTGAGTGATGACCCGCAGGACAGGGCTTTGTTATCTACAGCTTTCAATAGCCCGATTAACCCTTTTATACGTTTAACCTTCGCTGCATTAGCAGCGTGCTTTTAATAAAGAAAAGTTGACCAAAAGCAATTAATTTACATCCAGAACGTGAACTGAAGTTTGAACACACGTCCCACATAGCTTTTTAGTAGTTATAAAAATAAACATGTGTCCTGACTGTATTTTTGCTAAAGACTTTTATAATGTTATTTGTCTGCAGTCAAAAGGTTAAAAGATTTATAAGGACCAAGCGAGTAAAATATGTAACATAATACATAAAATACTCTTCTTTATACATAGAATATTTTAGCAATGACATGGAGTTGTTCTGCGAGGCCAGGGAGACTCTCCTGGCCCCATTTTGGAGTTTGGGGTCATATTTGTAATGTTAACTCAGTGGGCTGAATCACAGGACCGTGAGCGAGGAAATCCAAGTGATATCTTTTTATCACACACTTTTTTGCGTATGGATTTTTCTATTTTCATTTTCCCCATCTGCAAAATTGGCAAAAGGTTTTAAAAGATTTATTGTAAGGTGACTGCATTGTTTTTATAGCAAATGCCGTGGAGATGTAACATTTGTCAGTTATCTTGTTCAAAGGCACAAATTAAAAAAAAAAAAGCAAAATAAAGCTAACCCTTTGTTGTTTGTTGGGTTTTTTTTTCCTTCAGGCATTTCTCAGCTCACAAACCTGGATCCTCCCAGAAAAATCCCAAAAGGATGTTACGACTGTGGTGATGGATACTATAATCCTGAAACCAGAGTTGTTGTTGACTACAAGCTGCGTTTTCTGAGAAATGCAGGTATGATTAACTTCTGCAAGGTAAACTAAAAGGAGTTTATTTGTCGTATCTTCTAGGATGCATGATTACAGCTAAAACATAAGTCCATGTCTTGGTTCTGTTATCACTGAGCTAAAATATCTCTTACTTATTTATTTTTATCAGCGATTTGTGTATCCCCAGAGTTGCATAAATCATATTTTGTAAAATTACAATGAAGTATTCCCAAGCAGATATTAATAAATATATTTTATTACCCTTTGGTATGTTAATCTCAGGAAAATCTTCAATCTCTTCCATTATAATCTCAAGAAAAGGGGGTGGTTGTAAGGTGTACATCATTGATCCTGAAAGGTAATATACTCGATGTTGAACCAGCAAAGTGGTTAAGCACGTGCTTATTTCTCCCTGCTAGAATACTCCATTTTATTGGAGTGAGTCTTAGGGCTGTGTTTAAATACCTCGCTGAATAGGAGACTTTCTTGTCACCTTGTAGTTCTTTGTTTTGAGTAGTGTCTGGCAAATATTGTATCTTGTGGATGAGTCCCCAGATTAATGCGCCTTAGGGCAAATTAGTCCCATCAAGACAAAGGAGAAACTTTTCAAATTAAAAACACAAGAGAAGATCCCCAAACACTAGGGTAACTCAAAAAATGTAATCTAGCCTGAAACAAACCCTTTGTGTTCTGGCTAGTTAACATTTATGTTTATTACCTTTTTAGTGCAGAGTTTTTTGGTTTTTTTTAATGAAAATTAATTCTTACCAGTCACCCACCCTCATTGCCTTTTTTTTTTTTCAAATGTCCAAATTGCAGGACCTGGTGTTTCTACAAGACAGAACATTTCATTTTCAGTGTGCCACAGTTTAACAGTTTTGTTGCTTGGAAACTCAATTTTTCAGCAAATTTACTATTTGTTGGAAAAAAAAAAATTCCGCTCAGCTCTACTTTCAAGAGCTTTTAGAAGTGTGCACTGTAGTATTGGAAGAGGGAAGTGAAGGGGGGGTTTAAATGAATTGGAGATACCATCTGCTATAAAATATACCCTGTGATACATGGCCTGTTTTATAAACGTTGAATAAAAACTGATCTAGATTATTACAAATGGCATTGATCCAAAATACTGGAATGCAGTGGGCCTACTGATGAGGAAGATAAGCAACATGCTTTCCAAAAACACAGGAACATACACAGATTAGTACAGGAGGGAACGCCTTGGAATTCAATTTATTGTTTTTTAATCTCTTCTTTGAACTCATTGTCCTTTATGACATTTATCTCAAACCCTACAAATTATATCAATCCATATTTGCTAAGCAGAGTGGCGCAGCATGCAGTCCTGCGGAGGCCTTGAAGATGTGCTTTGTGTGGCCATGCCATTGAGAGCCCCATGCACAAAGCTCAAGTTGTTGATGCGGGCGTGAAGAAGGAATGTGTCGTGGAGGCCAGACCCTTCCTCTCAAGAACATGAACACAATTGAAAAACCTGACACTTGCTTAACATCAGAGGAACTCTTACCGCCCCAGGAGGGATTATTCAGGGCACAAGGCCACTGCAGTGAAGAAGAAGAAGAAAAAAAAAAAGACATTTAAAAAACCCCAGCTGTAAGCAGAAGAAACTGAGGAAGAGGCTGGGATGACAGGGAACAGATCCAGAATTACTCCATTATAGGTTGGGCAGGAAGGAGCAGGAAAACCTCCAGGCTTCCAGCCAAGTCTTGAAAGCATCAAAAGCAGATGGTAGGAAGCATTCAGGAAGTTCTTACAACAGCTTGACAGGTTTACCAAAACGACACTGTCTTCCTCAGGTCTGGCAGCAGGCTTGCAGAATGCTCCAGCTCTCACCTTTCACCCTGTTATGAAACAATTTCTGATTGTTTCTCGGCTGTTTGAGAGAGGGCAAGGAAGCATCCAGTCTTGGCCAAGTGCTCGCTCTGACCTGGCAGCATCTAGGTACCATTCCAGAAGAGCCGAAAAACCGACGCCATTTGAAACTACTGAGTTTGCTTCCACCACCTCTTTGTCAAGACGAGTGTGTGTGTGTGTGGAGGACCGCAGAGACTCCTGTAAAATTTGGCAAGCCCTGCGTTTCGCTAGCGTGGAGGTCTGATACTCATTTACTTAAAGAGCTCTTACTGCTAACGCAGTGCAAAGGCCCATCATGAGAACATAATCAGGCCCCGGGAATGAAATGACAGCAGCAGTTTTGCAATACGTTTTTATCTAGCAGAGTTTTCCAAATTCTCATTACAATCTTGCAGTTATTACTCCGTTCCGAAACCTCTGTTTCCTCAGGGATGCTCAAATTTCTCTTGCTTCTCCATGTGCTCTTCAATCTTTTCTTTTTTTTCCAGTATTGCGAAGTACGCAAAATTGGACCCATAAATAAGAATGGGAATGCTCATTTGTAAGAAGATACCTTGTTTATTTTGAATAGATACGAGGATTAGACTCCTGTTTCACTAGGACTATTACTTTTTTTTTTTCTTTCCAGAAATAGGACTCCTGGCACCTTTGTCGCAGTGTTTGGTCCGTAGAAAGATGGGAAGATTTCCCAGCATTTCAGTGAAAAGTAGAGAATTTATGATGTTATGTTTAATGCAAAGCAGGGAAGTACAAGAGGAACAGTGACATTCAGGTTTTAGGACCCCCAAATACCAGAGAAGCCCATAACTTTCAAAGAGAAAATACCATCAAAAACAGAGATTTTGTTCTACTGAGGTGGAAGAGATTATAGCAGATTGCCTGTGTCACCTCTCTTTTGATGAAAAGCAAAGATATTTCTGATGAAAATTGCTCTGCTTCTCTTGTGATTCTCCCAAGAATCAGTTAAATAATATAAAACATGCTTTTGCTCTTTGTCATTTGAGAATGTTTACGCTCCTACTTTTAACTTCTGTCTTCAGGTTTAATTATTATGGATATGGTGCACAGGATAGCTTTTAGACTGCAGTAAATATTAGCTAAAATACATTCATCTCTTCATATAACATCAAGAGCAGGAAGACACAAAGCTTGCCTTTACACTTAAAGCTCAGTCAAACAACTGCATTAAGATGTGTGTTATTGAGAGCAGAATTAGGCCTGGAAAACCAGGACAAGTGTCTTGATAAGATGAGAGTTTTTGGTGGTGCTGCAATCCCAAGGCAGCCAGCAATCACCTTAGGATTTCTGCGAGCCTGAAAGTCTTGTAAAAA